GTCCCCGCATGGAGAGACAGAGCTGACAGAGGGAGCTCATCCATGGTCTCCCGGATTTGAACCTGCAAACTGTCGGTCTTCAATCCTGCTGGCACAAGGGTTTAACCCATTGCGCCACCGGGAGTTCCTCCAAAGCACTGATACGACTGCTTGGCAGTGCATTTCTCAACATCTGAGCTCCACCTGCTACAAGAGTGATCTATATTAACTAGAGAAAAAACCTTAGTTCATCCATGAATTTAGTAAATACTAGCTTTGGCTCAGGTTTCTGTTTCAGAATCTACATTTCCTACCTGTAAAATGAAGTAGCCTGAACAACTCCCAGGAAGAGATTATTTTTAGAATCTTTCATCCTGAAAACAAGCTTCCATAGATTGGAATTTCCTATATAAAGACACATTTGTGAAGTTAGAAGTTTTGAATCCCATTCTGGGGATGTGGAGGGGTGTAAATCAAATCAAATAAATAAATAGATGATAAAAGATGTGTATGTCTCAAATATTAAGTGTAATGATCAAACTGATTTCTCCAAAGAATCAATTTTACAGAAAAATAACGAATTGCAGTCGCCATAAGTGATGGTTTATCTGTTTTCCACCTTTGTTTTCCCACAGAAGTACATTTCACATAAAGAAATGTAAGATTACAAAGACCCTCAGCTTCTTCATCCACTGACAACCTTTTTTCCCTTTTCTGATAGCGAGGGTTTATTCTGCCATTCCTCGTTCTGGAGACCATTCACAATAAATCTACTCATTGACCACAACTAATTCACATTAGATTTAGGCTGCATTTATTTATTTCTTTGTAAAATTGACCTTTTGTTTGAATGGGCACTTTTTCCTCTTTCTATTTGAGACACACACCAGGGAATGCAATCAGGAGATTCCTATTGATTGTTCTAAAGCAATTTCGTGCTGGTCATGGCTGTACTGGATTTGCAATCATTCTGAAGAGAGGTGTTATTGACTGCACCTAGTAATTACCACACTCACCTCGCAGCCTGCAATGTGCTCCTTGTCTAGGTTACTATAGTGAGAGCCCTTCTTTCTTCTAATCACAGCCAAGGTTAGCACTGTATATTGGCAGCCAGCATTCTCCAACCTTTTCCAGATCTAAGGTGTACCTTTAACCTCAGTTTATAACAATACCTGCTTTTTTTGTTTTTTCTTCTTAAAGAAGCATACAACCAGGCACATCAAACAGACTCTATAGAAGAGACATGGCTCAAAATGCTGAGAAGATAGTGGTTTATTGGTAGAAATTCCCAAAATCTTTTGTCCTACATATACTCTCAAAGCCTTCACTACCTAAATCTCATTGCTTAAAATCATTATAACATTTGCCCATAGCATATGTACTGCCTTAGAATCAAGCTACAGAACTTTCTGAACTAGGAACTCTTACTGGAAAAAAACAAACCTGTAATAATATCGTCTGAAAGAATGCTTGAGATTATACATAGGACAAAGCCATTTGAACTTTTCTATCCATACAAAACCATCTTTTGAGAATTTTGAAATGAGTGTACTGTGTTTTTCTAAAAAAAACTATCCATAATCATCTTTTTTTGTCTCTTTCCTCCTCTTCTGCTTAAAGAAAGCAGCTACAGTGTTGCTAATGTGACTGCCCAACATTAAGGTTGATCATAGGTAAAGGTAAAAGTTTTCCCCTGACATTAAGTCCAGTTGTGTCCAATTCTGGGGGTTAGTGCTTATCTCCATTTCTAAGCTGAAGAGCCGGCGTTGTCCGTAGACACCTCTAAGGTCATGTGGCCAGCATGACTGCATGGAGTACTGTTATCTTCCTGCCAGAGCAGTACCTATTGATCTACTCACATTTGCATGTTTTCAAACTGCTAGGTTGGCAGAAGCTGGGACGGACAGCAGAAGCTCACGCCGCTCCCCAGATTCCAACCTACAACCTTTCAGTCAACAAGTTTAGCAGCTCAACAGTTTAACCCTGCAGGCTCTAAAGTTGATCATAACCATGGCATACATGCCAACTATGACCTTTCAATATAGTGTTCTTCTAAGCTCCAAACCACTTAAGATGTCAACAGATTATATCTAGGCCAAAACAGTCTTATCCCTCCTCCCACCACCGCACAGGGTACGGTAATGCTTTTGGGAAGGCACACATCCGCTAGTAAAGACAGATGGAATGGATGAATGGCTAGAAGGTACTAAAAAAGGTGATTTTTTTTCAAGTTCTTCACTAGCATGCAAATTTGGATTGGATTCCCTCTGCTAATGTTTGCATTCAAAAAGAACAAAATCGGAATGAATGAAGAGGGCTAATTGTAGAACTTTCAGCTGCTTTTGACTTCTTAAGTGTTGCATTGATAGCACCAGGAATTCTGCTAGATTTGTTCTTATTGTTGATTATGTTGATATTACTTAGCTGTTTGCATGTATCTATGATCAGTAAAAAAAATTATAACCATCTTGGTACAGATACTTTTTTTGATTGGGAGTTGTGGAACAAATATGCTGTTCCCTATAGCATTTTAAAATGTATATTTTGCATGGTTCAGTGACTCCATGAAAAGACTTACAAGAGAAGGCTGTGATTGTATCTGTTTTGAAACTGAAAAATAGGAGGAAACAGGCAATAGTAATTAGGTCTAGAATAGTGGATCAATACACACAAGTTCATTGGGAATAAGAGATAGATTTGAGACTGCTGCTGCTGCTGTTGAAGAGGCCAGAAGCAAGACCATCACCATTTAGCTCTCTGTTACTTGCTTCTTCTGAGTAAACTGCAACCCCAGGCCTACCCCAGCAGGATGTGACTCAACAGTCTCTGAGGAGGAAGCAAGTATAAAGCTTGAGTCCACTAGACCTGGGGAGGACTTCTTTTATGTTGTGTTTGTAGAAAATCACCTCAGTGGCTGGACATTGGTCGCTTTGGGACTGTTACTCCAGCTGGTGGCGAGAGAGTCAGCTGGAAGACTGGGTAGTAGTAACAGGGTTAACCAGAACCATCTATTTAGCTACAAGGTGGAACAGAGTGCTGCTGGACTAGCCAACTAATCAGCCTGATCAACTAGAAGACACTCATTGACTATGTGTTAAGTGTTGTTTTATTAATGTCTTATCATTTGTCTTTTTCCTTTTCTGCTTCAGGTTGTATGTTTGTCCTTGTAATGTTATTTTAAATCAATGTATATGGAAACTGGGGCAGCAATACAAGTCATACAGGGCAGAGGAAGATATGGCGATGGCAGGGACACATGTCCTTATAGATAGAGGAAGGAGAGGAAGGTGTTTAATACCCATCTCACCTTCCAGTCACCCTGCCAGCCTGGGGAACTTGGAGAGTGAGAGCCAGACCACCTGCAAAAACTCACTTTGCTCTTAAGTAATGTCGGGACAGTGAAAAATAAGACTCATATAATCTATGATCTCATTGAAGATGAAGGAACTGACCTGGCATTCTTTACTGAAACTTGGCTGGGAGAGGATAGTGCTCCAACCTGGGCCAAGGCCCTTCCAGCCAGGTACTGCATCAGTGAGCAGGTGAGGGTAGGTAGGGGGAGAGGGTAGCTATATTCTATAAAGACTGCCTTAACCTGACCAGATTACCTGTTAGGGAGCTGGATGACATTGAGTATGTGTATCTGAGTCTGAAAACCAGGGATAGATTAGGGATTCTGTTAGTGTACTGTCCAGGGATTCTGCCTCACAGACTCCCCGACCAAGCTCACAGAACTGGTCTCGGAGGTATTGCTGGAGTCACCCAGACTTTTGCTTCTGGTTGACTTCAACATACTACTGGAGGCCAGGTTGCCAGGTACAGCTCAAGAGTTCATGGTATCATGAGAAACACGGGCCTATCCCAATTGGTTTCTGGACCTACGCATTCGGCAGGTTATAGACCTGTGTGATCAATGCAAAAAAATCAATACTCATTACTAAATTAAGGGGGGGGGGGGAATAATCTCTAAGTGTTTTTAAAACATTGTTAGGGTCCATATCATAACTAAAATGATTTAATGAAATTTTTGTTACTTTTTCATTAAGTAGTTGCACAAGGGGGGGGGGATTCCAGGACACCTGTCTCCCTTCTTTTTTAGAGCTATATGGATGAAACTTCCTATTATGGTAGAACACAGCTCCTACTGTTACTCCATCCCCCAAGTTTCAGAACATTCCACTCATGCACTGATTTTGGGGAATTTTAATTTTTTTATGAACAACATCAAAAAATAAACTGCATGAGCTATCTCCTTGAATTTGTATTGTCAATGATATTACATTTTCCCAGAAGTCCCTGGGGGTGATAAAGTCCAACCCCCCTCTGCCAGGCAGGAAAAGCACAGTCAAACCATCCCCAAAAGATGCCCATCCAGTCTTTGAAATAACAACAACAATAATAATAGGAAACCTACTAGGTAAACTTTGGAGTTAGTGCTCTCAACTTTGCCTACCTCACAGGGTTGATTCAACTCTCAACAAGCCCTTTCATCTCATAATCACTTAAGTAAGCAGGATTTTGGGAAATGTAATTTGGGAAGGTGAGGAACCCTGTGGAAGAGAATTCAAAGGGTTCCTGGATTTTAATAATTACAGACCAGTATCTAGCTTTCTTTTTTTGGGCAAGGTGATTGAGAAGATAGTTGCCCTCCAACTCCAGGCAGTTTGGATCACACACACATCCTTGATCCATTTCAAACTGGCTTCAGAGCAGGATATGGTGTTGAGACTTCTATGGTCACCTTCATGGATGTTCCCCATCTCAACACCAACAAGGAGAGTGTGCCCCTGTTGATGCTTCTAGACCTCTCAGCGGCTTTTGATACCATCGACTATGATATCTTTCTGAAGTGCCTGGAGGGGCTGGAGATTAGAGGCACTGTGTTTCAGAGATTCTAGTTGTACCATTCAGGCAGGTTCCAGATGGTGATGCTTGAGGATAACTACTCCTCAAAAAGGAGCTGTTACGTGGCATCTCACAAGGTGCCATTTTATCTCCAATGTTTTCTTTTTAATATTTACAGGAAACCGCTGGGAGAGATCATCCGGAGCCATGGGGCAGGATGTTATCAGTATGCTGGTGATATCCAAATATATTTCTCCATGCCTTCAAAAACAACCTCAGCTAAGGATACTGTGTGTCTTCTGAATGAATGCCTGGAGGAGATAATGGCCTGGATATGAAAAAACAAAAACAAAAAACAAATTGAAACTGAAGGCCTCTCTCTTCCAGCAGGCCTACCCTGCCAGCTTTAAGTATAAATTTTAAACTCAGTCCTGTTTTTAATCTCTGTTCTGTGTATTTTAGTATGTATTTTATAGAAATATGTTTTAATATTTGTGGAATTGTTACATATATGTGTTCTAATTGTTCTGTAACTTGCCTGGAGCCACGAGAAAAGGCAGGTAAGAATTATAATTATTTTTATTATTATTATTTGAAACATAACAAGATGAGTCCACAGCAGACAAGATGATGATGATGATTATGATTATTATTATTATTGATATTTTCCAGTGTTTCTCAAACTGTGTTCCTCTGGGTGTTTTGGACTTCAGCTGCCACAATTCCTATAAACTGGTAAGATGGCTGGGATTTCTGGGAGCTGAAGTCCAAAACACTTGGAAGAGCACACTTTGAGAAACAATAGAATCTATTCTAATGTACCTTGGCTTTCTTTTTATCCAAACAATATAATAGTGTGAATTTCTTTTCTGCTTTTAACACAGATACAACAAACTTTGAAATGCAATTTGAAGTCTAATCATCAACATGCCTTTCTATTATCTGCACACTGTATCTGCAGGATAAATGTTATTTATTTTAAAGTAACAAAGGCATTTAACAACACAAATTTTCTATATGTATTTATATGTGAACATCTATCTATCTCTACCTATCATAATCATTTTTCTGTCTAATAAAAAAGGTCTCCAACTTCCACTTATTAAATTCCCTGTCTGGTGGGCAGGTACCAGCCTTGTTAATCTGATTTTCACCAACTTTACAGAATGATTAACCCTTTGACAGAGTCTTGTCATCTGTGACCTAAATAGAGATTGTATAATTAAGGCAGAATAGTTAAAGCCCTGTCAGATCTGGCTGAGACATTCTTCTTCTACACACATTAGATTTAGGAAGAATGCTATAGGACGAAACAGTTCGGTTGTTTTTTAATTTAATATACTGAGCTGAAAAAAGAGGTAATCAGACATGTCAGTGTAGTTAATAAATGCAAAGCAAGTCACATAACAGATCTAATGTAGGGTAGTGGTTTGTGTGTCTAGATGCCTTGTCAGCTATGGAAACTCCCAGGTGACCTTGAGTACCATATATCTAGAACACCCAGATATATGAATATGTGTGTGTGTGTGTGTGTAATGTTCATTTGTGGGATTAACATAACTCAAAAACCACTGTAATGTTCATTTGTAGGATTAACATAACTCAAAAACCACTGAGTGAATTGACACCATATTTGGACACAATACACCTATCAGGCCAATGAGTGACCATCACTCATAAAAACACTGGAAAACATAGTGGGAGAGACTTATATAGCCAAAAAACCCCAAAAAACATTACAATGCATGCACATAACCACATATATACACATATAGACAAATATATATACACACACATATACACATATATACACACGCAAAAAACATTTACACAGACTGGGCCACAGCAATGCATGGCAGAGGACGGCAGATATATCTCCTAAAATCAAAAATAGGGAACACTTCTGGTTCCAAGCGTTTTGGATAAGCATCACACAGTCTGTAAAGAGTTGTTTTTTAATGGAACTGAATGTGTGCAATGAAGAGTACTGAAGCCCTGGAATATGTGCTGCTGATGAGGACAAACTAGATCAGTTCTGGCCCTGTAGGTTCTTACATTTTCTTGACGAGTCAATTAAAAGAGGAGATAAAAGCAAACTGAAATATGTCCAACTTTCATCTCTCTGCTAGTACATTGCAAAGCCATATATGCACAGCACAACACTCCTAGTATAACACAACCTTATTTATTTGAATGACATGTAAGATAGCACAACACCTCTGACTAATCAGACATTTAGAAAAGCAAGAATCTACTGGAGAAAGCAGTACACTGACAGGAAGCTACATAGGGGGTTCATAATGAGCTGGGATAACAAGGACTTTGGAATAAAATAATCAACATTTAGATAACAGCTTCACTATAGTGGCATATCACAGGTGCTTCTAGACAGAATGCCTCCCCTCCATCCCACCCCCCAAATTCCTCCCAGCAAACATCTAGCTGTAAATGCTGCTGTATGCTGTAGGCTGTAATGAGTACTTATAGGCCTATCATAGGTTGAACATGAAACTGTGCTCATGTCATTAAAAACTCAACTAGGCAGAAAGCTCAGAATGGAGCTGTTGACAAAAGGAGAGCAGGGAGCTTTGTGGCTTATCCTTAATTAGGTGTTGGCACTGGTTCTTGTCAAACGAAGGGGAAAGAGGGTCTGCTGAAACACTCGGGTGCAAATACACAGCACAAGTCACACAGCTGGAAGGAATACAAAGTGCATTCAAGCTGGCATTGAAAGGGATTTAGGTAAGCACTCAAGGTAACAAAAATAAAAAGAGAGAAGGGCTGATAGCAATGGAAGCTTTGGATGAATTGCAGCGGCGCATACCTTTATTACAGCTTATCAGTCTCTAACCAGCAACACACCAACTTTCCGAGTGCATTTCTCTTCTTGGTGTTCCAGATTAAAGGTCAAAGGAAGTCAGATTTATATGTTCTCTCCCGCTCGGTGCAGCTCACTTCTTGCTTCATTGGTATGCTAAGGATGAAATCTTCCACTCTGTGGATACAAAGGCCTTCCCCCCTGTCAAAGCGCTTCTATTTTCCCCCAAACAATTATTTGCTACAAAGAGGTTACAAACAATGTGATATTAAAAGGTCACCACAGTAGTTCTGGCATAAATACACATGTGGTCACATGACAGACCTAATTCCTCTTTAGCTGTAAATACAATTACTCTCTACAGTCATTCACTATCTTCAAACTGCTAATATGTGGATTTTATTAAAAGGTTGCCCATGTGTACTCTGAAACATATACAAAGGCTGTGTGTTTTCACAGTGTGCGTCATCTGTGCCCATTTAAGCTACCATATGGTAGGGAGTTTTTTATCAGGAAGAAAAATAAAAGAGTATATGTCTGTGTTTGTGTAGATATAAGCATAGCCATATATAAAAAGAACATGATAAGAAAAAATTCCCTACACATTACAGCTTACATTACCCATCTACTTAGGCAGGAAACAGCATATGTTCTTCTTCTGTGGAAATGCATTACTTACGAGTGGGAAAAATACAATTGAGACAAAATGTAGAGATGTGATATTAAACATGTGTTCAACAAAAACACCTTTCAGACTAGTAATGAAAGCCGATGTTTATGATATTATTAATACAGGAAGCTGGAATATGTCACTGAACAAGATGCATATCCTGTAATTGCTTCCCTCTTCTGTTTTTTAAAAAAATCATTTTGTATGGCAGGAATTACCTATTGCCTGTTTGAAAATCAAATCTGTTTTATATAAAGGGCTCATATAGCCTTCTTTTCATTTTGCCTCATAGCCTTCATTGATTCAAAGGAGAAGAGGGATTCTTGGAAATTTAGTTAATATATGGTGGAAGCTCCTTATAGCATTGTGATTGAGTGGTGGGTGTGTTTCTTGCCAAGGTTACTCAAACTTCTATTTCATTTTGCTTTGCAACTAACCAAAGCTACCTCTATTTTTCATTCCCTTCCTGGAAAGATTCAGTTACGTCTAGAAGGCGGTGTAAACATCAACTGATGAGCACTTTTAAGTATATTCTTGTTCAGTCTAAACTGCCTCACCTTCCCCCCCCCCTCCTCCTTTTCAACAGCCGAGTAGAGATTCAAGGCGGCTTGTCTGTGCTCCAGCTCATTCCGCCTGCAGCACTGAGTGGTTGGCGGGCAGCCAACCAATCTCCATTTCCCAACGAAGCCCTGATTCCATCTGCTCCAAGAGTGCAATATATTCCACTTCAGGTCAAAAGCAGGGAGCCAACAGTATTAACTTTACACTAATCTGTAAAGACATTTTCACTAGCCTAGGTAGGCTAATGTTACATAGAGCTTTAAAAGCTGAGAGGATAACAAAAAGCAATAATTGTTGGAGAAATATGTTGCATGTAGACTCTAGCATACATGACAATCTGCGGAGAAATGAATTAAAAAAGCAGAGAGCACGCCACACGTGGGCAATTAAAATATTAATATAGATTGGATCAGGAAGCAACTTCAACCAAAGACTAAACATGCCACTAAAAGTAGCAAAGAATCCAGCACATTTTAGTAGCTGCCTTCAATCTGAGAAAGGTGGGATAGAAGTATTGTAAATAAATAATAGTGAGGTATTTGAAAGTAAAATGCTGATGAACATGTTTGTAGAGTCATAACCACTCCTCAATAGCCGTGTACTTTTATTTTCCATATATAGCAGACTTTCAATCAATTGTTCTGAATTATGACATATGGTTTATCTGGATTTTTACAAAAAGATCTAAGGAATTACTCAAGCAATACTGTAAATTGGTGAATGCACACAATACAAATTCAATTTTTGCAATAAAAGCCAGACCTCTTTTTCAACATTTTGCACCCCCATCTTATCTTGTCAAAAACTAATTTAAAATTTATGGCTTTAAGCACATCAGGTACCATTAAGAATTGCATTTCTGGAAATGTGAATGTAAAATGTGAAATTTAAGCAGTCTTAATCCCCCCCTCCCAAAAAAAAGGGAGAAGTAGGGATGAAAAGACACAGGAAATTAGCTACACAAACATCAATATTGTTACATTCTCAGTTTGTTCTGTGTGGCTTGACTCAGCTGTTACGGAAGTAAGAAGACATATAAACAATTGTGTAATAGAGTTGCTGTTAGACTACATGGATATATAATGCTCTGAAAATGAAGATGCAGTCATCTCAGAACATCAATGATTAATGCATGATTTGTTTACATTGGGAGAAAGTTATTTTCACCAGTTTGGCTTCCTTGTTGTCTTGTTTGGGTACACGTTAATTATTCAAAGCTTAATGGTCTGACAGATCTTTGTTTTAATTATGTCCCCTAAAATGTAGATTTCTGTTAACCAATGTTAGGAGTCTATATTCTGCATTGGCTTCAACAGAGTACTTCAAGAGTGCTGAATATGTATGTGTTTGTTAAATATACATGGAGTTTCAATTGAAATCAAGGAAAAGATGGTTTACAAGATTTTGATCTGAGCAGAAAGCCCTGTAGCAAGTTTATATAGAGGACATTGACTTCTATCCATTCAGTCTTTCGGAATGCTTTATGTTCTAATCATGGTACTAAGCATCTGTCCCTGACAGGCAGCCTGTTCAGTCTAGCAGATAACAAATGTGGTTTGATGGCCACTGGGCCGGTCATTTTGCCTGTTCTCCAGGTTATAGTATTATATTCCTCTGATTATGCAGGCAGCTAGAAAGGGATCACAAAGCTGTAATAGCCTCAGTTATGAAACATCTTCACCTGTTATCCAAAGCTGAGTTGAATCATCGGAAATTGGAACACTGGCTGTTTTCATGCCAGATTAATTTGAGCTGATACTGCTGTTCACTTAACACAGATGGATAGGTGTGTAGGACAGTGCTTTAAACAGAGATGACGCCCCAATGAATATTTGCTGGCATGTGTACTGCAGGAAGCCAGGTTGAAGAATGAGCAATCACTGAAAGCTAAAGGGGAGGGAAGGATGGAGGTGACAACACAGGAGACTGACATTCTGCCATGTGTTATCCATGACCACAATTAATTACATGCTAGATGGCTTTCTACATCTAATGTCTCTAGTCCTCAAACTGCTGGGGCAATAGAGGCTAGACTGGAACAAATAGGAAGTAGTACTGTTGAAAGAGAACCAACATTTTAAAATTCCCCTTTCCTCCCTCTTTATTCACTGCAAGCACATCTGCAAATGCAAAGTGACTTCTATGCCTTTGCTGTAGTGTGAGAAATATTACCCACACATTAAGCCTGGCCAGCAATTCACTTCGTAGGGAGTCAGTCATGGCACTAAAATTTAATCGTCTTCTTTCATTTTCACCACAGTGTGCTTTGCAATCAAGTATAAATTACAACATTCTGCTTACTTTTGACTAAGTAACAGATGTTTCAGCATTTGATTTAGAAATAATATGTGCCTGACATAGGAAACAAGTCTTGCAGTTGCAATTTATCATCTGGAGGATAGTGTTTCAGCAGAAAATAACTTCATTCGTGAGCATTTTTTTTCTCACTCCCTGACCTCTAATTGTGGCTTGAATATGTGTTTCTGATATTTGGATGGACATGCAAGTGATGTCTGGGCTGTCCTAATTGCAAAGAATGGGAGAAGGAAAGAGAAATTGGTAATGGTGGGAGGGTGAAAAGAACAAATTTTAAGAAGAAAGCTCAAGTTGAGCCATCCCATGAGGTGGGTCTGCTTGGTGAATTCTAAAAGAGATGAGACTGGCTTCTGGGAATATGTACACCTCCATACCCATGAGACTGGTATCTATGGAACCAGCTTATCCATCTCTGAGAAAATATGTCCTCTCCTGGCATTCTTTAGGTCCTCCAGTGCACCACTCTGGTATACTAGGTCCAGAAGTCCTTCATTTCAATAAGCTTTGCTATTATCCAAGTATCTCAAATACTTACCTGACATTTATGAATGTACCCCTTGTGAATATGGGGGTCATACTGTATAAGGAATTTGGTAAGTCCAATTTGCAGTTTCCCTCTTATTTAAATTTTTGTTTTCTTAAATTGTTCTGTTTGGATGAATGCTCACTGAAGAACACTACAAATTTATCTCTTCCTGTTCTGAAGTCTTAAAGCTAGAAATTTTTCACCTCTGTAGACCAGGGGTCCACAAACCTTTTCAATGGAGAGCCAGGTCACAGTCCCTTAAACTGTTGGAGGGCCGGATTATAATTTGGAAAAAAAAACATGAATGAATTCCTATGCACACTGCACATATCTTATTTGTAGTGCAAAAAACACTTAAATGCAATACAATAATTAAAATGAAGAACAATTTAAACAGATATAGACTTATTAGTATTTCAATGGGAAGTGTGGGCCTGCTTTTGTCTGATGAGATAGGATTGTTGTTGTTGTTGTTGTGTGCTTTCAAGTCACTTCAGACTTAGGCTGACCCTGAGCAAGGACCGAGTAAATGACCTTGGAGGGCCGTATCCGGTCCCCGAGCCTTAGTTTGAGGACCCCTGCTGTAGACAATACCTGAGTTCAAAGTATAATAAACTGCTGGAAGCTGGAAGAGGAGAGGAAGGATAAATCTTACCTGCCTCAGTAGATTCAGGCAAAGCAAACTGCTGCAAGCTCTCCTAACTTGTATGTTCTTCCTCTGATGTTTGATTTGTGAAAAGTTGTGCTCCAAAGAGCAGATGATAGAGGGCGAATTGTCAAAACACATGACAAATCTGGAGGTCAGTGAGGGAAACCATCGCCCTGTACCCTGCATCACCTGCATTGCCTTCTTACCCATCCCATGGGGTAAGCCCCACTCACTCTGTTCTCTTCTATAAGAACACAGTAAGTCTCCTATGTTCTCTGGATGCTGCCAGGAAACTGGATGCATGGAGTCCTGCTGGAAATAGCCCTGAATCATCTGATGGGCTCTGGCAGGCTCTGCCCTTCTAGTGTCCTGGAAGCATCCTAGGACACTGAAAAACCTCAATGTGATGAGGTCCTAAGTTTCTTTTAAACCCTTCTCTAGCTTAGATCAATTCAGATTGAGAAGGATCTCCACCCAAACCCCAGACCACAATTTATTCATCTTTAATTCAGGATGGCACAGTAGCAATGGTGGTAGATAGGAAGTGAGCAAATCATACCAAGAAAACCTTGTGATAAGGTCACCATAGTTCAGAAACTACTGAAAGGCACACAGCCACAATAACAACAAAATATTTAAGGATG